TTTTGTTGCCCTGCGCAGTAAATATTCCGGAGAACTGCAGTGATTTTTCATAAATTTCACATGACTTTTCATCAAGGCAGTGCCATATCCCGTGTTTACTAATACAAGGCCAGTAATTTTTCGTACATATTTCTCTCCGTGTACTATTCACGGTATAATAATGATTCACCGCTGAAAACATTATCCAAACAAATTCACAAATCAAATCGAGTCGTCCAATTCCACCTTCAACCCCTCAATTTACGCAACATTGGAAGGTCCCTTTGATCCCCGATTAAAGGGGTGGAAAAGGGCGGTGAAAAGGTCCGGCGTAAAATGAAAAAATCAAAACAAGTGGACCTTTCATTCCCTCTCAACCGGGGATTCTTTGATAACTAATTAGCAATATGATTCTCAATATGAGTGTCAGCTTTTGAGTCTTCATTGTTCCCCCCTCATTTATCTTGAATTTTATTCTTCCCTTTGACCTTTATTTTTTTCTACTTCGATTTTTTTATGGACCTTTTCACCGAGAGTTTAACTCCAATATTATTTCAAAAATGATTATCCATTTTCGGACTGTCTCCTCTCTAATTGAAGCATTTTTTATTTCAGAATATTTAACCACATGAAGTTGAAATTTCAATTTAATAATTCATTTCGATCTCCAATATAAATCTGGTATGTTTTGTGTGTGTGTAAGACAATAAAATTGTACAAAAATTATGTACCCAAATAATTGCATGTCAATAATAAACAAAAATAGTATATTCAATAAAAATAATTATCTAAAGCACATTCTTCTCATTTTTTCATTCAAGACCCGAATGGACTATCTATCGAGTGTCATCTTTTGTTTAAATTTTATCTTAACCTAAAATATATTAAAATTAGCGATATTGTTTAAAAGGGATCCACCAACTTCACTAAAAAATAATAAAGAATACGTCGCTCATTACATATGTCATATATAGATGTATATATATCTGATATATAATTGTGGCGACAAATGCAATGTGTCACATCATGGTAACCTACGTATTTTTTATAATTTTTTAGTTAACTTGATAGATCCCTTTTAAACAATATCGCTCTTTAGCGCCCTTCAATAATTTTTCCTCTTTTTTCATTATCTTTTTCTAACCATTCGAGTAGCTCCCGCAACACAAATTTCATCCCAAATTTTAATGTATTTTACGCTAAAATTATAAATTTTTTTATTGCAAAAATTTAGGCATTCGATTCTGTGGGTTTCAGACAAAAAAACATGAGAATTTCCCCTGAATTGATGTGTCCAAGTTTGTATTAAAATAATGAAATGGTGTAGGAAAAGGGAAGGGGAAGGGGGAGGGGAAGGAGAAGGGAAAGGGGAAGGGGCGAGGGGTACCGCCTAGTCAAAGTTGGGGCTGAGATTGCGTTGGCGAAAGCGCGGTGTTGATCGATTAGCAAAAGCTTTGAACGTTACTTCCGCCCTCTTCGCAAACCCAAAAGCCTCGGTCCTATGGGTCTTCCCACCTACCCCATACCATTTCGGAAACCACCATAGCTATAGAACTCAACCAGTACTTGGGGTCATGATGCAATTAGTGACGTTGCATTCCTCCTCTACCCTAACTATGGAACTATCAAATCATCACCAAGGGATCCACCTATGCCCTCTATCTTCTCGTCAGAGTGTCTCCTCGATTTGACCTCCATCTCGCTACATTGTTTCATAAATTCCCGGGGTAAGGTGGAAATTGTGTCACTTCGGTCTGATAATATTTGGTTAGTTAATGGAATGGCGGGGATTCCGGGGTTAATCAAACAACCGGAAAGAAAATTCGAGGGAAATTACTTGATTTCAAATGAATGCCGCCTCCCGATCGGATGGAATCGGAAATTACACCGGCGGAATTTCAAATCGTCGGGAATTCCAACAGAAATATCATATTTAATAAACAATAATTTTATAATTTAATGAAAAAAGGGGATAAATGAATATTTTTTATATTATATTTTTCTCGAATGGCGGAATTGAATAGATTTTTAAAAGAAAATCGAGAAATATTGTAAATATTCCGGAAATTTTTATTTTCATTCAGAAAATTCACGAAAACTCGAAATAATTAATCATTTTAAAATATCATTTGATCCCGAAAAAATCGAGTGAAAATTTCGATCAATCGAAATAAAAAAATCGATCTGAAAAATCGAGAATCGACTCTAAACAATCGATCGTTAAAATATCGATCCCGAGTGGGGGAAACCCATAAAATCTGGTGGTTATTCTTCACAGAGTGGCCGAATCGATAGTACTTCCATCGATTAAAAGAAGAAAAAGAAATTTGAATAATAGCAGGGGAAAAAAAAAGCTGCCAGGGCCGGAGCATAAGGCAAGCTAATTCCTCCATTGCTGTTTCAAGCGATTCTTACCGAAATAGCGGGCCCGGTGTATTCAAAATAAGCAGAGGATTAGTTGGAGGAGTTCCGAATAATCTCCAGAGCGCACTCCAACTTCTATAATTCCTCTCTCTCGGAATTCATAGTGTCTCTATCGCGGTTACTCGCCACTTCCTACAACTTGCCGCAGAGTCAACCACACTTGGAATTTAATTGATGAGCTTCGACGTACCTTCCAGGAGGTGAAATCGAATTTTAGTCTCGTATCTTACCCATTCCATTCAATATTGATACTCCAGTTCAAATAACACCTCAACTCACCGAAATACTCAGTCAAGATTACCACCCCTCTCACCCTGACGAAACCAATGATTCCACCACTGATTTATTTCTAAGATGATCCGACTGTCAGATCAGGTGAACACCTGATGAGGACCTTGGTCAGTTGCTATCAGGCTTACCTGGTAAGGTTGACCTTACACGGAGCGAAATTTGTCGGAAAAATTCGTACCAGAATCGCTTGAAAAATTACCGGACTGCGCAGTAAGCGTGGAGCATTGCGATCTAACCTTAAATATTACGGTCCAGTTCAGTAAAATTTTTCAGCTCCGTCACTGAAAAAGTTATGAGAAATCCAGTAAAATTTACTGGAAGTGCAGTAAAATTTACTGGAAGTGTAGTAAAATTTACTGGAAGTGTAGTAAAATTTACTGGAAGTGCAGTAAAAAGTGAATAACTAGTACGAATATTTCAGGTTTTTAGCAGTACATTTTAGAACATCGAATGAACTTCGGAGAAAATTGAGGATCAGTCCAGTAATTTTTGTTGTCCTGCGCAGTAAATATTCCGGAGAACTGCAGTAATTTTTCATAAATTTCACATGACTTTTCATCAAGGCAGTGCCATATCCCGCGTTTACTAATACGAGAGCAGTAATTTTTCGTACATATTTCTCTCCGCGTACGTCTCGTTTTCAAGGTCCTGGTCAGGCAATGGTAGAGTTCACCTGATGATGTTAGCCTGACTCGAAAGTGATTAGACCCTTATCTGGTTATCGGAAGGGCAAAGTAAACCATTTAAAGACCTGATAATGTTGGCCAGATACCTCAGCCCACCTTTTCTTTTCAACCCTGATCTGGACCTCAGCAGGTACCTTATGAGGGCCTTACACTCCAATTTAGGCAGCCTTATGAAGACCTTGCGAAACCCCTGACGAAATTTCCCCCTGGGTGAGGAAAATTTCCCCCATCGATCCTTCAATCGTGCGAGAATAAATAAACTTGTGGCTTTTTTCTATTTACTATTTTTTCCTGAACTTCTACTCCCAATTTACCTTCTCCGCAATCCATCCGAAACTTTATTATTTTATAATTCACTCAAATCAACTGCGAATACCCCGCACCGCTCGCGGTAAAAATTCCCAGTCGTTGGCGAAAAATACGAGACGAATTTTCACTTTTGGGTTAAAAACCGATTGGATTAAAAAAAAAATCCCCGAAACCCATGCAGAATTTACAAATCCACCAATTACAACTTCCATCGGAGGCAGTGGTCATTGGTCCGAGAATATTTGGTTTACGATACGTCAGAGTTTTTTTTAATTAATCTACCCCGGCGTACGCAATGGAAAAATAGAATTTGCGCCGGATGCGCTGAATGTATTCGAACAGTGCCGTTGGTTTTCCATTTAATCCCGCTATTTTAACTCCAAAATAAAGAAAAAATGTAAAAGCCGAAAAAAATTGGTATAGGCGAAACAAAAAAACAACAATTCAAGAGTTGATTAAAGAGAAAAAAAAGCCAATACAGAATCAACTTGAAAAACTGGGCTAACGATGTCATTCGGTTAATCGATAAATTAAACATCGACCAGTCCGGAACTAAAGGATCATCGATAACAACGATAACAACATAAATCAACAAAGATAACAAAACAAATGGGTGAAAATTTGAAAAATCGTTCAACCAACGAAAATTACTCGAAAAAAATTTGACATTTTTTGATCTCTCCCGTTTTTAACAAATATCTTGGAACCGAGGGGAGATACCGATATATCCATAATGACTTTTTCTCTAGCTCTCAAATTTCTCTATAAAAAATGTTTAATAAAAAAAAACGCTATCTTTCTCCGATTTCAAGATATTCACCAAAAACTGAATTGCAAAAACGCAGTTTTTACCCTTTGGCTGGTGCTTGACGCGCCAGAATTGGGGAAAAAATTTCAGGGAAATATTTCAAGGCGATGCAAATTACTCCGTTATTTTGACCGTAATAATTGCCTCGGTGAGTGCATGTTAAATAGCTTGACCGAGTTTTGGAACTATGCGTGCAACTGGGCAATAATGCAGCACAGGCATCCGACGGATCGCATACCGCATGCAGCAATAAGATGGATCCAGAATCTGGATAGAATGTTATCGCTTTTCCAACGTACGTCCGTGAACTCCAATTTTCCGTTGTTAATCCGTGCAGATTGTAGTTTCCAACAATTTACCGAAAAAATTTTCCAACTTCTAAATTCATTTTTATTTCTTCATTTCTCTGATACCGGGGCTCGATCCCGACGGAAATCTGTACCAATTTCATTTTCCTCGAGATGTATATCGAGATATTGGAGCCCTCGGTAGTTTGACGGTAAATGATACTTCGATGGGGGAGAAAATATATTTGATGAAAAAATCGGATAGTTCGTCCTGCTCCAAAGGCATTATATTTCTCCAGGAATATATTTTTTCAAATTGAGATAATGCTAGATAATGGTATTAATATAAGGATTAATTAATCACTCGGGATTCGGCTATATAATATATTTGAGATTTATTTTTTGCCTGAAAATCGCACGCGCCTCATTAATCAACGAAAATGGAGGCATAAATGGGGACTCCGGTCAGCGCAATTAACCCTCAATAATTCAAAAAATCATGAATCATACGCACGAAGAAAAAAAATCCGTAAAAATTACCTCACCCTCGGACAATTCTCCGCAAATCTCCAGTTCAATTTTCCGAATTACTGGTCACATAATATAAATATCGATAATCAAATATAAATAATCGTTATACCGTTTAATTATAATTTAATTTAATTTCAATTAAAAAAAAAACGTCCGGAAATTTGTGTGTGAATTGTGTGAATAAAGTGAATAAATAAATCGGTAAGCCATCGAACAAAATTTGCGCAATTTCTATTGAATATTTTTTTACGTGTAAATAGTTTAATAATAATAATAATAATAATGATAATAATAGGACTGACCAGGTGGACAGTTGCAATCACCGGCATCCCTCTTAATCCTGAACATGGGTGACTCAGGATAGGGTATTTTCTGTCCAAGAAATGCCTCCTGCACTTCCCGCCGAAGCCTCTTAATGATAACCTCCGACGTCTCCTGATGATCACATCTCGCCTCAAGACTCTGTATCCTCGACTCCAACAGCATCTCCCGATAAGCGAGTATCCCGGATATACCAATACTCCCAATGCACAAAAAAAGCATTGCCCAATTGATTCCACTTACATCAACTCGATTAATCTCTTTGCGAAATTTCTTCGGCACCGTAGCCTCAAGAGTCTTACGACCCGTCCAATTATCATTGGTCTCCATCGTGTTTACCCCAAACACGTGATTCTTTATCGAAAACACCCCCAAAAAATATCCACCCACTCGTCGATTATTCACCCTCAAAAATCACAATCGATTATTATATCGATAAAAAAAACTACGTAACTCGCGCTACCACTGTCCATTTGTCACTCATCCTCGATAATCACCCCTCACTTCAAGATATCATTATGAAAATAGCCATCTAAATCGATCAACAAATCACTAAAAAAGTCACTCACGTATTGCCACAGGATTTTCCCTCTTCCCACGATTTCGAGGCAATTGTTTAATCTAAAGAAAAAAAAAAACAGTCCAATTATCACTCGCGGCGCGATTACACCTGTTATGCGATAAACCTTAATGACTCGTTATCACCGATTAGTCCCTCCCCCCCGGGGATGGCGGGAAAGTTCAATATTTCCGGGGGCTCAATTAACGCATAATTTTTTTATTTAAATATTGTCGTTTTACCAAAATGTCAGGTATTAATCGTGGCACTATTTCACTCGTGATTTTTTTTTTTATAAATTGACACTCGCGAGGCTCGCGGTTTGACGGTCGCAGCACGACTGGAGGGTCCGTCGTGTGCGGAGGGTTCGTCATTTCGGCTCTAGTCGGTAAACATCGGGATACATCGGAAATCCACACGCCGGTGCTATATCCCCTGATATTTTCTCTCTCATTCCCTCAACCCCCCCC